GGTGGGCACTGGGAGGATCTCATGCAATGTAATCTCATGGACTCAGATTCCCAGGTTCATAGGAGAAATTTTCCCTGAGGGTACAGGTTTGGCCAAATACGTTAACAAGTTTCACTTTGTTCTGCCATTTATTGCTAGAGGCTGGGCTGATCCTAGACCTCGTCTGGAAAGGGGAGTACCACATCCCTCTTCTCCTACCTCTAATCAGACTGGTTTGTGCTAGGGCAGTTCTCCACAGATTTTCAGCCCAGTGACACTGTTGCACTGAAGGCCTAAAATAGCTGGTCTTGACAAATGTCTTTTTTTTTTTTTTTTTTTTTTTAAGGTTATTACACCTGCACACAGACGACAAGGGAAGAATAATAGGGGAGCCAGGACTGAGTGAGGTTCAGTGGAGGAGAGGGTAGCAGAGTGCATTGCAGGCAGCCTGCTATGGTAGTGAGACAACCTCAGTTGCTGGAGAGAGCTTTAAGTGCAAAAGGAAAGCCCCTAACCCCACTGCTCATCATTCGTGCTACATGATTCCTAGAGACAGGGGCTAGTCCACTGGAAGGTAAAACTATCTCAAACTTTAGGAGACTCAGAGATGAGAGGCAGAGGGGAGAAAGTCTGAAAAGTGGTGATATGAAACAGGATGAAATACGGTGGGGGAGCCACAGAGGAGAAGAAAAGCAGAACAGATATTTCTCAGCTTCACAGCTTTGTTCTTTTCCTCTTTTGCTTCTTCTTTATTAAAGCTGACACCTTTTAGGACAAGTAGCTTTTCTTCTTACTTGTCTGTTAAACAATTATTGTGAAGCCTTGTGCCTGCTTCTTCACTGTGCTTACCTCATGGGGCATGCAGGGCTCTTGTGAACATCGCCACAGAGTAGGAATAGCTACTGTTAGCTCTGGGACTGTCTGGTTCAACCTCTGCATTGCCCTGTATGGAGGTTTTTCCCCACTCAAGCCGCAGGTGCTTTTCAGTAGTCGGTGGTGCAGAGTGGAGGCATAGGAGAAATGCAAGCAAAGGAGCTGTGAAACAGTCTGCGCTCATGCTGTCTCTGCCCTGGGTGTCTTACAACAATCCTTCCCCAATCCTTTTCCACCCTAGCCAGAAATCAGCAGGCAGCTGCATCTCCAATCATTGCTTTGACTGTTTCCCTGACAGCCTAACCCAACAGCCCCCAGCTTTCCCACCCTCACCTGAGGGGCTGGCACTGCCATGCTTGATTGTCCCCAGACCCTGTCCTCACCAGGTAGCACCCAGCAGTGTAGGTGGCGGGAGCTGTCAGCACCGCTTCATGATGGCCTTCATCTTCATACCCTTTCTAAACTGGAAAGGGACCCTGGGCTGCATGGCCAGTCTGGTCACAGTTCCCAGCATGTCTGGGTGCGGGGAGCTAAAGACCCCGTGTGCTGTCCCACTGTAATAGCTTAATGATGTCCTGCCTTTTCTGGTGATGGATGGTGTGTTTTGGCAGTGTCAGTCAGTCAGTCCTGCATGCTGGGCTTTTGTCCTCGAAGGAAATTTTTCCTGTCATATCACTTTCTCCTCAGTCTGTTTGTAGTTATGGTTTGGTAAAGTCTTTAAATATGTGCTTAACTTTACTCACGTGCTGTCAGGTTTTCAGCTTGATTTCCCAAGGATATGAGACACGTGTGATTCTCTGCTCTCTCCCCTCAGGTGTGTCTGTGAGCTGACTCCCCTAATAATTTTTCTAGCTATTGGCCCTTTTCAGCCAAATTTTCCAGAGGCAGGGATCTTAGCATAATGAAGTTATTGAAAGTTTCATGAAGAGTAAGGACTTAGAAGGAAAGAGACTGAAGTGCTACGAAAGAAGGAAAAGTCACCATGTAAGCTCAACCCCTGCTAGACACCAGAGGACCTGGGTAAGAGACAGCCTCACAGGCTCCTCATTCGTGTGAGAAGCCCCAGTCAGAGCTTGTTACTGACCACAAGCTACATATTTCAAGGAAACCATTCTCACGGTCAAGGGACAATATACTTCTAGATTGGAGGAGTGTTTGTCTTCACCCATCTTGCCCTTCTTGGGTGCCTTGTGGCTGTGGATTTTTTCTACGTGCTGACGCCTAAACTAGTGGCTGGATCTGGACTCCAGAAGGAACAGGTTGGCACTGCTGGGACTTTTGCTTGCTTCAGCAACATGCCATGCCATCTGCTGCCTGGGCACATCTGGGAGTTTCTCCTAGCAAATTTGCAGGAACCTGGACATTGGATCTCTCTTGTCCTTTTCTTAGTGTCTAAGATATTTCTTCAGGTCTTTGGTCTTTGGAGTGATAAATTTCTTGTAAGGTACATGTGGGAGAAACAGAAAGGGTAGACTATTTGATTTTTTTTCTCGATTTAACATCCGTTAAGCTCATTCCCTCCCATGCGCACACACGCTCATGTTCGTTAGGCAATAGGACATAACAACTCCACAACCCAGCTCAGATTTTTGCTTAGCTCCACACCTGCCTGTGTTTTGGATGAAGGCTCCCTATTATTCCTAATGATGGAGACCAGTGACGTTTTATAGATGGGAGGCTAAGGACATGATGTTTCCCAGGCTGTGGATCTAACACCTCTTGTTGTAAGTCAGTAGGTAAATATTCAGTACAGTAAGATGGAAAAACATGAGATGCTCCAGAAAGGCATCTTACCACAGGCAGCATCTTATGCTGGGAAGCCCCCAAGCTGGCCAGCAGGGAACACCAAGGGCTGGAGTGTTTGCCCCTTAGATACTTTATTTCGGGCATAAAGGACTTTCCGCACTCAGAGCCCTGAACCCTCTACTGAAATTAGATACAGAAAGCCTTCCTGAGTGAACTTTTCCCAGGTTTGGCTGGAAGGAGAGACCCTGTCACTGCTCCTGTGCCTACCCAGCAGCTCACTACTCTGAGTACTTTCTCAAATTACGTGAGAGCTGGGTTCAGCTGCAGACTGCCTCCAGGGAGACCGATCCCAGGCAGTTAATCTCCTGTGTGAATGGCTCCACATCTCAGCCACGGAGCCACTGCAGACCTTTCTTTCCCTCTTCCTGTCCTGGTGAACATGTGCTGAAGTCCCACAGCTGGATGACCTCTGGCAGAGGGGATTGAGAGTGACCCCATGGCACAACATGTTATGGTTTGAGGTCAGGGTGGCGAATGCTGTCACAAGAGAGATGAGATTATAACCTGGCTTGCCCACTCCTTTCACGAGTGCTCCCATGGTTGAGTTAGTATAGAAATTGGGAGCACTAGCACCTTGCTGGTCTGTGTCCTACTCAGGGTAAGACACATCGTTTCCTTTCTGTTGTCTTCTGAGACCGCCTCCTTGCCTGATTCCCTTGGGTGACAGAGGCAAAGGAGTGCTCAGTCTGCAGATTGCTCTGTGCTTGGCTTGCTGCTGTAGTTCCCAGGCTGGGGAGGGGGACTGTGAAACTTCAAGACATGACTAAATCAGCATTGCAAGTGCTTGGGAAATTTTGAGGTCAAAGCCACAAGTGCTGGTTGCTGCATGGCACAGTTAGCCAGTAGCTGAGCATAAGTGGACTGGAGCACTACAGTTATGTAAAGTCTGCTGCAGATCTAATCCTCAATCTCTTGTCCAAGGTCACATAAGAAGTCCATGGCAGAGAGGCAATTTGAAACCAAATCACCAGAGTCCTAAGCTAATGTACTCACTGCTGAATCAAACACTGCAAAATAAAAGCTTTAAGCCAGATTGTATTGTAGTCATCACACCCTTGGTATGGCTGATGTTAACTTGGTATAGGTGTCACAGGGACTAAAACTGATAGTACACAGCTTATACCTGCTTCTGTCAGATTTCTATAAATATGTATTTAGCAACCGCTTGCCATCTATGGAGCACGAAATAGCTATCCTATTAAATAACAATGCAATTATACTACCAACCATAAACATTTCAACTGGAGCTTCAGCATTATTTTTTCTTTTCTTTCTCAAATGTTATTTTAGTGCTCACCTGGAGCAAGTAACTGCTTCCTGCCAGATGAGTAAAATCTGGTTAGTTTTTGAATCTGTCTTGTTGTCAGGCTTGCTGAAGAAGTCAGTAGACTTTGAACTTGACATTAGATTTTTTCAGGTCCCAGCCCTCAGCAAGTGTATTTTCTACCTCACATTTTCTGTAATCCTAGGGGTGCAATGCATTTGCTCTCTGGATATGATAAATAAAGATTATGTGTTTCTTCTGCAATTCTCACTTTCTTTCCAAATGTGTCTTTTAGTTAAGAGGGAATATTTCTAAGCCTCTGGTAGGAAACAAGCACCTAACAATCCAGGCTTGCAGCTGTATGATTCCCTAGATTACAGCTACACTGAAAGAAAGAATGCTATGAATCTACTTCACAACTTTTACCATGATTTATTTTACAGAGGATTAATAAAGCATTCTTTCACCAAAGAATTAACAACACTTTTTTTACAGCACAGAAATGAATGGTTGCATTAACAAGCGGCTACAGTCTGATTCCAAGCAGGCAACTAAGTGTCAGAAAAACAAAAAGGGATTTAATGTTGCACTAACAGGGGGCTTTTGAGATGGGGAGCTAGGACGCCCCTTTGCAGCACAGTTTGGTAAGGCTTCTTGGCTGATTACTCCTAGTGGAATAGAAAATGAGACTGAATCCAGTATCCAAACGGGGATACTGGCTTGCACAGAATGAGAAAGGATTTAAAAATTTCATGGACTCAGGTCTATGCTGAGATTTGGGGAAGCTCAGCTGAGCTGAGTTCCTGTTGCTGAGGTTTGCAAGGCTACTCGTTATTGCCTGGGTTTCTGATGCACAATCCAGAAAGGCTGTTTCCCAGCAAACAACTCAGAAGAGCACAACAGAGGCTTCGCAGAACTCAGGGGCTAACTCAAATCCAGGCAAACAAACTCAGACTTTTGAGTGCTGTCCTCCCAGCCCTGCACAAGACCCTTTGACTGCCCTGTCTCACGGCTTCTTTCCACAGCTCCAAACACTGCTGTGGTATTGACCGCGGCTGGGACGTGCAGAGGTGCTTACCTCCAGGACCATCTCTGTCATCTGGAACTGCTTCTGGGAGACCTTGTCAGAGCTCACAGGCTCATGGAAGAGCAGACAGAGCATGTCGTACTTCTTCAGGGCCTGCTTGTAGTTCTTCTCATTCAGATCGATCACTCGGTCTTTCCCATCGTACGTGGGGAAATTCAGTCCCTCTTCTGCTTTGCAGCAGAAAAGCAGGTAAAAACCTGCCAGGACCCAGCAGGTTGCCTTCATAGGGGATCCCTTGGAGAGCAGCAGAGGGCAGGTAAACGTCCGTCTCCTTCTTAATTTGGGAAAAGGGGAAGACTAAATGCTCCAGGTGCAGTTCAAACCGAGTTTCTCTTTCTGCTGCCTTCCTAGTGATCAGCCCAAACGCCGCAAGGCTGGTGGGGAGCAGCAAACTTTGCTGTCCTGTGCTCACAACAAAGAGACAGACAGGAGAAGCTGTCAGGCCAAGCCCTGGATACCTTACATAGCTGTGTCCAGCTCCCGTGTCATTAGGAACTCCATTTTTAGGAAGCAGTTGTTTCAGGCTAAAAATAAACCCTGCAATGAATAAAAAGGACAGATATGACACCATTGAGGGACTTGCTGGCACTCTGCATCATCTGAGAGAGAGGGAGCAAGCAAGAGGGAGGGAGGGGAAGATGTCGATGCTGGGAATATGCAGGCAGGGTTTGCAAAGGGACAGGCTTCACTTGTACAGAGAACCAAGGCACAGCCTGTCCTACTAGGGCTTAACAAAAATAGAAGGTATTTGCTGCATTTTTTAATAAGGGTATCTCTCTTTGTACCCCCTTGGGCATCACGGTGATTAGGCTTCAGATAACATATCTTGAGTTAAATAGTTTCAGAGGCTCCTCTGCACTGCTAGAGGAAAAGTCCCATTTCCTCAGCAGCAAAGGAGGTGAGCACTCGTGGGACTCCCTCCTCCTCCTCCTGCCTTGGGCATTGGCCAGAGCTGCTGGCTGACATTCAAGCTCTTTTCTGAAGCACCTTCTCTGCTTCTCTGCTGCCAGGAGAATTGCCGGCCCTTGGGCCTGTAATCCCAAAGTAGAGGGCAGCTTACGTTGCAACCTCCTGTGCCCACAGCCGTTACCAAGCCCCACATGTAGCTGGTGAGTAGTTAAAACCTTATCATACCAAGGGGTATGAAGGACAGGAGGCACGTGCCCAGGCCGGTGTCTCGGGGTAGGAGGCAAAATGATGGAGAGATGCCACCATTGCTGCTGGCCTCCCAGCAGATGGGACCTGCCTGCTGGTCCTGAAGGAGTTTTTCATAAAACCCTGTTGCATTTCCCAGCAAGCGGTCCCGCATATTCCTTCCTCTTCATTTCCCAGGAACAGTGATGGGTTCCTCCATCCCTGGGAGCTCAGTGCTGGCTGCCACTTTGCTGTGTTGCCTGCACCCCGCTGCTGGGGGAGAACTGTTCAGTGACACAGTCTTCCACCTCTTCCCCACCTCTGACCGAGGTGTCACTGCTGCCCCATGACTGGCAGCGACAGGCAGGTGGAGGCAGGCCAGCTGGCTGCAAGCCAGCACCGGGGCTGACGTGGATCCGCTGGAGAAGGCATGCTGAGGGGCTGGCAGAGAAGAGCTTGACAGGGTGCATGGGTCTCGCCCCCCTGCCAAAGTGATGTGCCAACACGTGGCCTCATCAGGCCTCCTCCTTGCACACTGCTGCATCACAGCCTTGCTCCATCCACACTGAGGAAGAGACAATGTCCCTTCTTGGTTTGTGAAACTCTCTTGCCAGCCATCTCTTCCCGTTGTATGGCTGGGATGTTTCAATGTTTGGGGCAAAAGATGAGCATTACTTAGCAATTACACACATCTCCTGGGTGACTTTTAGGAGCACATGTACCCCTCAGCGTTCACTTCCCACCTGAACAGCCCACGACACACTGATTGAAACTCTGTGGGCAATAGTTTCCAAGTCTGTCTTATTTCCAAAACCTCCTCCAATAACAACAGTTTCTGGCCGTGACTTTTCAGAAGTTCAACGTTTGCCTGCAACTTCATGTCCTAATGACAAAGCCTGAGGAATGTGGGTAGAAGCCAGAGCAAAACAGCCTCAGAAATCCACTCCCTACTGAGGCACCCTTCAGGGGCAGTGATTTCTAGAGGGAAACCTGACAAACTGGATACATCTGATTGCTTTCAGTGGGAGACCCAAGATTTGTGTCACGGTGGATGGCAATGGCTGGCTAGGCTTTTGCTGAATGTTTAGGCTGCAAAATGCACAGCCGAGCTTGTGGGATGACCAGGCACACACCCAGGCTGGTTGTTTGCCAAGGGCTCCATGGATTTGGGGTGCAGGAACAGGTTTCTGCTAGCATCAGAGTGTGTTTTAAAGCAGGCGCACATCAGACAAGGCTGTAAAAATGAAATGTTCAGGGCTACTCCAAAACTGGTTACCCAGGCTCCTGTCCTCCTTTTATTCTTGTAGATCTTCAGCAATTGCTCCACTTTCATGTCGCTCAAGCTATTTTTGAAGTGCTTTCTCTCTAGTCTGAATAACTTCTTAATCTGCCTAAAAATAGACACAATCTAATTTTCATTTTCTCCTCTTTTTGCTATCAAAAAAGGAACAAAAAGGCTTATTACTCACAAAAAGTGTTGCCTTGTTAGCCCCAGACCTACCTATTTTATCTGTCCGTGGCACGAGTAGCAATGATCTGTGGCTGTTAGGCTTCACCTCTGCTCCAAAGGGAATTCTTCCAGCAGATTGACATTGGATGTCACAGTCACTGGAAAGTCCATTTCTTTGTTTCCCCACTCAAATCTTCAGTGGGATTGTTAGTGCTACATCCAGTGGACATTTTCTGTGGTCTTCTAAGCTCTAGCTGCATCTACCTTGTTCACTGAGTCAGAAGTAGTTTGAATGGCTGTATGCTTCCCAGGAGGCAGAGTTCGTGTGTTTGACTTAGGGATGAACCCATGGAGACAGTCATGGTGAATTCCTCAAATCTGAACAACATCCTCAATTACCTGAATTTCTTAATTCTAAAAAAGTTTAGTCAAAGCAGATGTTCTCCTTGTAACCCTGCTGATACAGATCTGAAATTCTGGATTCACGTGTTTTGGGATGTTCAGAACAGCGGTTTAAATACTTGAGTCTGAACAGAGCTGCTTTTACCCTCGGGAGCCTGTAGGATACCAGTAGCAGATCCAGGACTGAAGCAGACTCTCCCACACTCTGACAAAGGCCCTAAGTGATGTGTCTTTTTCTTCATCACCTCTCTGTGTCCTGATAGCAGCACACTGAAATGTACCCATCTCGGCTCCAGGAGCAAGTCTCCTTGGGAGTTCAAAGCTATCCATCCACGCTCAGATAATGTTTTATATTGGGAATTTTGGGGCAGGCTCACTGTCAAGAAAAGGACAGTGTGTAGAATTCACGGATTTGGGGAATCTGAGTTTTATCAAAGGCCCATTTCCACAGGATGCTATCATAAGGTTTCTGTGTGTCAGAATCTCCCCCCGTAGGGTAGGAGCAATAGCAGTTCCCCATAGGAGAAGATGAGGGGGACAAAGAACTCTATGGAAACTTGGATGTTGCACTCACAGGTTCACTACAAATACTTTGTGCTATATTTCTGCGTAGTCCAAGGTCTTCCTGATCCTATTTGGCTGCCCATAATTCCAACACATTTGTTTCTGTGGGCAGTGCCATGCAAGGGAACGATATGGGCAGCACTGTGTCCTGTGACATTTGCCCTTCAGCTCATTCCCTGCCAAATCTGGCATCTGTTAGTCTCTGATATAAGTTGACTGCATGGCTCAACCTCCCGACTCTGGCTCCTTAACAATCTTTTAGTCCTGCCTCTAGAAATCAATATGATGCTCTTCCCTGGTGAACCATCCCACCACCCACCTGAACGCTCCCTGAGAAATGAGCTGATAGGGCTCAAGGCCCATCCACCTGGGCAGGTGCCCACACCATTCAAACAAGGTTCAGAACTGGCCCCAAAACTTGAGGCAAAGAAAGAGAGAATTAAAGGAAAAGCTTACTGTGGTGTTATCCACTATTCTAGGCTCTTTGGGGTATATCCATTGAGCAAAATCCTGGCTCCAGGGAATTAGGTTGCAAAACCAACCCTGACATGCATTGAAGTAGGACTTTACTTTGTTTCTTTTTGTGAGGATAGGTGGCCAGTGGCAGTAGTACAACAGAAGTGCTCAAAATAGTACAATCTCAGCCCTTCACTTCAGGCTTGCAGAAACGCTGTTTGGGACACAGGATAAATAAGAATCTCCTTCTTGTTGATTTTTTTTTTTTTCCTACTTGTATTATGTTAGGGATATACACTTGCTGCTCCTCCCTCCTGGCCACTGCAGCTGCACTCCATGCTGTTCTCACCTTCATTGTCCTTTATAGCTCATGCGGTGAAAGAGGTCCCCAGCCACCACTGATCCAAATGCTTCAGTGAGCCTTTTTTCCAGGGCTTCAGGATTTAAGGTTCTGCTTTAGCTAATCTCTTTTCAAGCTTCTAAGACCTTGTATGTTTTGCAAGATAGGAGTATTCAGAAAATACGCCTTTTGACACCAGTTAGCCAAGCAAGGTCACAGCTTATAATAACTTTGAGCGTACTCCTGCCTTTAGGGTGGGAGCCTCAGAGGTGCGCTGAGCCTTTCTAAGGAAACCGAGAGGATCGCTATCATCTCTAGGAAAGCTCTGCAGTGCAAGAAAATCTAGTTCTCTCTCCCTTCCCTTCAGCCCTGAAAGGTGACATGGCGCTTTACATTGCCTGTACTCCTATGCAGTCATGTCAGTGATGGCAAGTACAAAGCAGAGAAGTTGTACCTTTTTTTTTTTTCCCATTTTAAACTGTCAGAGATCTTTTCAGCACCTGACAATGCTGTGCCTATTTTGCCTGAGGTGTGCCAAGACCTTCTGTGTGATAAGTAGATGCTATAAACCCTCCCATTTTCTGACACACAGACACTGGTTCTGATAAGGAAAATTAAACGCAGCACAGAGAAAAGCACTTGTACAAAATTATATGGAAGTTGTAAAAGGAAGGTCAACAACATGATTCAGGAGTCCTGACTCACTCTGAGCCATGTAGGGTCTATGACATTTAAACAAATTCTTCTCTTTTTTAGACATCATGTCCCCCCAAGCAAAGTTGCTCTGTGCTACCTTATGGGGATTGTTGCACCTCTCTGTCTTTGGGAGCTGGCCTGGCGCCTGTGTCTTATACAGGTCAGAAAGTACTTTAGAAGGTCAAAATGGACTTTTCCAAAAGGGTTGGGATGGTTACCTCCTGATGGGTTTATAAACCCTACACAGCAAGAAAGGATTTAACTCAGACATCACTTGGGGCCAAAGGGGAACGGGCCCATGGGCATGGGTGGAAAAGAGTGGGAAAGAGAGCAATAAAGTGAAAACGAAAAGCATAAAGAAAAATGCTGGAAGCAGA